AACTTGAAGTGATTTTTTTAATTATAAGTAACTTTTTATATTTTATAAATAAGGAATCACTTTTATGTATTAAAATAAAATAAAATATGTGGAGTGAGAAACACTCCGTGCAGTGTTTCTCACTTTTATGCATGGAGTGAGAATTTCCACTCTGTGCACGGAGTGTTTCCACTCCACATATTATTTTTTTAAATTTTATTTAAAGTAATTTTTTATTAATATTTAATTAAAAAATTAAATATATTTAAATATTTACTTAAAAATGTTGAAATTAATATTTTTTTTAATCTATAAGTAGCTTTTACAATTATGATTTTTTTATTACTTTTAAATAACTTGAAGTGATTTTTTTTTATTTGTAAGTAATTTTTTACATTCTAGATAATGTAATATTTTTATTAATAGTTAATTTAAAAAACTAAATATATCTAAATATTTATACTTAAAATTTTTTTAAGTTAATATTTTTTAACTTATAAGTAGCTTTTGCAATTATAAGAGGATGGAGGATTAATTTTTTTTTAGATATAAGTAATTTTTACAATTATAAGTTGTTTTATTACTTTAATGCTTTTTTTACTTATAAGTAACTTTTTACATTCTAGATAGTGTAATTTTTTTATTAATATTTAATTTAAAAAACTAAATATATCTAAATATTTATACTTAAAAAATTTTAAGTTAATATTTTTTTATTTATATATATATATATATATATATATATATATTTTTTTAACCTATAAGTAGCTTTTACAATTATCAATTTTTTTATTACTTTTAAATAAGTTGAAGTGATTTTTTTACTTATAAGTAACTTTTTATATTCTAAAATAGTGTAATCTTTTTATGAATATTTAATTTTAAAAACTAAATATATCTAAATATTTTGATTACATTAATTTTCACATTGAACTGCTTTGAAACTGGTTTAGTCCTTTGAATCTGACACACAATATCTTTCTTCATTTTCTCATGTTATCAACTATATCCTTATTAGTAGTAATATTTTTTTAAATAATATTTTGTCACACTGTAGTTTTTGTTTTTAATTTGTGGAACAGAAACGACGTCGTTTTCTATTTTACATATAGCTTACATGCTTTAAATCTGACACAGAGTGCTCTTTCTCCATTTTCTCATATTATCAACTATCGACCATATTCTAGATTTTATTAGTAATAATATTTTTTAATTACATAAAAGTTATTATTTATTTCTAAAATGTAAAAAAGTTACTTATAAATAAAAATATCACTTCAAGTTATTTAAGAGTAAAAGAAACTTATAATTGTAAAAGCTGCTTATAAGTAAAAAAATATTAACTTAAAATTTTTTAAGTATAAATATTTGGATATATTTAGTTTTTAAATTAAATATTAATAAAAAGATTCCACTATCTAGAATGTAAAAAATTACTTATAAGTAAAAAAGTACTTCAAATTATTTAAAAGTAATGAAAAACTTATAATTGTAAAAGCTAATTATAGGTAAAAAAATAATAATATTAATCCATCATTCTCTTATAATTGTAAAAGCTACTTATAAGTAAAAAAATATTAACTTAAATTTTTTTAATTATAAATATTTAGATATATTTAATTTTTAAAATTAAATATTAATAAAAAAATTACATTATCTAGAATGTAAAAAGTTATTTATAAATAAAAAAACCACTTCAAGTTATTTAAAAGTAATAAAAAAAACCTATAATTGTAAAAGCTACTTATAGATAAAAAAATATTAACTTCAACATTTTTAAGTAAATATTTAAATATATTTAATTTTTTAAATTAAATATTAATAAAAAGTTATTTCAAACAAA